TTAAAAGCATGTTTTTTACTATATAACTTACAATTTTGATGAGCTTGGTTATCTGATTTTGTGACAGAATGGCTTTGAGATACTGCTAAACATTCTCTTTGGAGGTCCATCTTAGCTTGGTGGAGGACAGACAGGTAACATGGAGTATTTTAGTGAGTTACAATATAAAATGTCCATTTTCCATTGGCTTATTTTAAAAATGGGGGGCAAGTTTCAGTTTCAGAATTTTTAGAGGTTGTAAGTTTGGAAACTAGGGTCAAAACACTTGCAGCATATATTCTGTGCACTCTAATATAATTGGACTGAAGCCATCTGTCTGCTTCAGCCCTCCTCATCTTTTAGCAAACACTTAGTAAGTAATCTTACTAAGTAAATTTTTAATCTTTGTAGTAGTGCGAATTATAAAGATTGAGGGTAGTGATGTCAGCAACACTTTAACATTTTTTTCTAACATGTTCAGTTAATTTTCAGTTACATAATTGGGTTTTATAATTAAGTAGTTACATAACAATATTTCCTTTGGTTGGATGATGTTTCTAAAATTTTTGTCATTGGTTATTTCTTCTAGAGAGTTCAGCTATCAAAATCAAATTCTTTAGTTAATTTTGAACATGATTTTGTTAATTTCTGAGGCCTTTTAGGGAATATATGGACATTTATCTGCTCCACATGTTCTCAAATATAAATGTAAACAAAATGTAATACAGAAATCTTTTATCCAACTTGAAATAGTCTACCTAATTTAGCAATTTAATTATATACATATCCCATATAATATTGTTTAAAGTGCATTAGTGACAAAATAATTCCTTTTCTTCCTACTCTCATTACATGAAATACTTTCATTTTATTTTATTTTTTCTCTTTAAAACACTTATTTAAAATGTTCATATGCAGATTTTAATTCCTATTCCCTTCATGCCCCATATTTTATTATCGTTTTATATAGTCACTCTTCATGTAAGTTTACCCATGTAAGTATAACTTTTATCAATACAGGGTGGGACAAAAGTAGGTTTACAGCTGTTTGTATGGAAAATAGTACAATAAAAGATAAATAATAGTACAAGAATAAACTCTGTGTTTTGCCTTACGATGTATTTTGTTAAGAAACTTTTAAAACATAACAGCAAAGTTGAATTTCAGAGTGATACTGATATTTGATGTCCATTTAATTACTGCTTAGATTCAACTATTAACATTTTACTAAACTTGATGTATCATCTATGTGTTTTTCCATATGTTCTTTTTTCTTCCACTTCATCTAATTTTTTGGATGCATTTAAAAGTAAACTGGACAACAATACACTTTCCTTAATTGCTTAAGCATGCATATCATTAGCTAAAGTGCAGTGTTTTTTTAAAGTTTTTTTTTTTCCAATGTTAAAACTACATACTGCATGAAATGCAAAATCTTACTGGGTTACTTTGCTGAGTTTAGGTTTAGTAATGTTATTTTAGAGCTGCCCTAGTAGGTGTTTTAAGTTTCTTGACTGACAACAACTTAACCTTTTGTTGTCACTGTTTCCAGAGAGAGAAAAGTTGAACTTGTCAACTTTTGAAATGTAAACTTCTTGGCTACATTCTTTAACAATGTGTCCTAATTCTGGGGCAGGTCCAGTTTAATATATTTTACATTACTTAATAATTTTACATAATTCCCAAAAGGCATTGAAATGACCCAGAATGTTTTATTGAAAATTGAGCAAGAGAATTAAACCAGTAAGTGCTACAGTAAAAATGTTCGTCACAAAATATAATGGATCAGAGTGAAGAAACATGCTGGTATAATAGAATTTTTAGTTAGATGTGGTTTGTTAGGTACTTTTCTAGTAAAAACCATGGGGTGGCAAAAGTGATACAAAATTGAGATACCCAAGTAGAATCTATGTTATACATGTGGTGCTTATGTGTCAAGTGATATTCTTTTTAGGTGATGGGAATAGCGCAGTGAATAAGACCATAAAGGTTTCTGCCTATGAGGTTTGCATTTATAGTGTAAGTTAATTGTGTTAAGATGTAGTTGCATTGATTATTTACATGTATCATTGTACATAGTTATTGATATTTTGCTGGTAGGTAAATGTGTTTTAGTTGTTTTGACTTTTTATGAGGGCAAAAACTAAGTATATGAAAGTAGACAAAATAATATAATGAACTCCCCATGGTCAAATCATACAAGTCGTAATAATCTAGTCATGTTTAATCTTGTTTTGTCTATGCCTTCACTACTTTTCTCCCTCTCAGATTATTTTGAAGTAAATCCAAGACTCCATATTTCCGATGCAAATAAATATTTCAGTGTATGTCTCTAAAAGATAAGAATGCTTAAGAGGTAGTGCTTATGTATTAAAATTTTTATTTTAAATACAATTTTTTGTGGTAAAATATGTGAAAAATATTTTAATGAAATTGAAAAATAAGTAATTTTAAAGAAACAGTAATCCTCATAATCTGTATCCAGCCTAATAATTCCTTTGAGTTCATTTTTAGTTAATTGAAAATGATCCTGTTATCCTTAAAAACCTTTTAAGTTTTACTTTATAAGTCATAATTTTTATTTCTGGTTGTATGTAATAGTGCCATTGTTTTCTAAGATATTTCTAAAATATAGGTGCTAAATATACCAGTATCTGAAGCCTTATGTATTTTTGTTAGCATTTAGAGAGGAAAATTACAAGTTTATAGCTCAATGTGAGATTTGTACAAGAATTTCAGTGATGTTACTTTCATTGAGGTCTGGCATTACAGGTAATGGAAAATACTGGTTGAACTTTCTTAGTAGTATAAACTTCTGAAAGAAAAATTCTGAAATCTCTGCCACACATCATGGATTTTATTGAAAAGGAAAAAAAATCCGTGAATGGTATATCATGATAAGATATGAACCGTCTCTGAAAATAGGCTTGCTTTGTCACACACTCCTGTAGTCATCTTCATTTCCTTAAATCTTTTTGAAGAGCTAGGGAGTTTTAAGATTAGATGCCTACAGAGCAGAGATGGTATAAGGTATTTGTGTTTCAACAGTTTCTTAAAACACAAAGGAAACATTAGTTTGATCTTTATTGCTAGATACAAGAGTTGTCATTATGAGGTTTTGTTTTTTGTTTTTTGCTTTTTGTTTGTTTGTTTTTGTAAAAAGTTTGTTAAATATATAACTAAATGTGACTTGAGTTTCACTTCTTTGAAAGTTTTACCATATACATTTTTAAATCCTGAAATAACTTTCTAGTAACTGTGGCTATTGAACAGAGGAACAGGCTGCTTAGTAAAGTAAGAAGCTTCCTCTCCATTCATAGAAGTGTTGGAGCATACTCACCCTACCATCCATTCTATTTTAAGCATGTACAAACAAGGATATTATGGAATGGAATTTTATGGTTTCATAGAATTGGAGAAATCACTAATTCTACATTTTTAACATTTTGAATTAGAAAGTGCTATAAATTGTAATGTTGCTAAATTTAGCTTAATGACATTTTTTGGAAGCTTAGTATTTGCTTACATTTAATTGAAATCTGTGCAAGATAGTGTTTAGAAGAGTCAACTTATTTGTGTACTATATTTTATGTGAACTTATAAAATATGTCTTATAACTTAATATCTAGCACACAAAAGGAAACCACCTAACTATTGCCATATAAGAAAATTAGGTAGATATTTTAGCTGTGAAGTAGATATGAACTACTGATTTTATTTTTTCCCAGAACATTGGCAAATATCCTACCTATTGGGAAGTTTGAATAGGATGTAGTAATTTATTAACCAAATAGTTGTAGTTATTAGTGGTAAGAAATAATTTAAGGAAATAGATACTTTGAAGAATTTAATGTTTCACTTAGACTTATATAAATAGTAATCAAAATAGCAAACATTTTTTGAGCACTCAGTTTATGCTACTGTGCTAAATGCCTTACAATTTGTTTTTATTTAGCTTTCACAACAACCCCATGAGGTAGGTATTAGTTTTTAGCTAATTTCACAGATAATGAATCTGAAGTTTAGGATGCTAAAGTGTCCAGCGTTGAATGCTGGATTATTTAACTCATTAGTTGATCATGTCTTATATACTTTGATAGCTTGCTAGTGTCTTTCACCTCTTTCTTACCTTTTATTGATAGAAAGTTAGCATGAGTGCTCAACACCAAATTACTTACACATATGTGCTCTGTGTCTCTCTAGTTCTTACTATTGATGATCATTTTTGTTCAGTTATTTCACAGCACCTGCTAATTTAAGACATCTTGTTCTCCCTCTGTCCAGTTTCCTAAACCCCACAAATAATCCATTCAATTGCTAAAACTTTAAAACATTAACAACATACTGTTTTGAAAATCCATTCAAATTTAAAAATGGGTTTTATTTTGCTTACAAACCGGTGAAGTCAAAGACTCTCCTATGTCTAGTGCTGTGGAAAAGTAGCAAAAAAAGTGCTTGATCTTGCTACCTCAGTATTACTGCCATGTTTGCTGTTGCTTATATATGAAAATCTTGCATTTCTTCTGAACAATGTACTTCAATAATAGACCAAAGACGTGTGCTATCTTAAATGGTTTTATTTCTAAAATTCCTAGGCAATTAGGGATTAGAGTTATTGTAACACTTTTACTTTCTGTAGTTTATTTTTTATTAAAACAATAATATGTATATTTCTTTTACTTATGATTGGTTTTCTGCATTGCCGCATGTTATTTTATTTAAACACATGGTTTTCTTCATTGAATAATTTTATTTCCTTTAATTCATGTGAAGACTTTACTATTAGTTATATATTCATGTTATTTCATTAATGCAGTTTTGTTTGTTTATACATTTACTCTATTTGATTAAGGGTAAGAACTATTAGTTATATATTCATGTTATTTCATTAATGCATTTTTGTTTGTTTATACATTTACTCTCTTTGATTAAGGATAAGAACTCCTGTGCTTTTTTAAAACCTTTCCAAAACCAAATAGAGAAATTAGTGATTTTTATATATTTCTTTTTGTCTGTTTTAGGATGGCTACCATAGAGTAGTTAATATTGTGCCAAAGAAACCACCACTGCTAGACAGACCTGGTGAAGGAAGCTACAATAGATATTACAGTCATGTTGATTACCGAGACTATGACGAGGGCCGCAGTTTTTCTCATGATCGAAGAAGTGGTCCACCTCACAGAGGAGTATGTAAATTTCGCCCATGTACTAATTGTTATTTTTTTTTTCTTATAAGTTTAAAAACCATGTAATTTTTGAAATTTATGTGACTGGCCATGAAGGCAGTTGAATAAACACTTCCTGCTTGATGCTCTGTTGAATTGCCTGCTGGAGCTTTCAAATGGGAACTGGTAGACAAGAATCTTGGGGTGCTGGTCAAAGTGGGTAAGCACTCTGGATAGCTCTATCTAAATGACATTAATTACAACTAGCCTGCTTTTTTATCCCTCAAATTAGCAGGGATTTGCAGAAGCAGTTAAAGGTTATCTGTTGGTACTCAATAAGTGATGGGCAGGTGGTTACCATCTCTTACTAGATGTGCCCACTTACGATTACTTTGATTATTTTTAGCATGATGAAATGACATGGATGAGATTGGGTTAAGGTTGTTGAGACTCTTGTTTTATTTTTTGCTATAGTTATTATTAAAGTCTACTTACTAACTCAGATTAGACAGCACTCAAAACATCACCTGACCTATAGTAAGCACTTATAAAATGTTAGCTGCTGTTATTACTATTGACAATAGTAATTGCTATTATATTGTTTCTCTTGATCACCTTTAAAAATCAAAAAGTATGTATTTAATATTGCAGTAATCTGAAAGTGTGTTTTAATTTTTCAGTAATCTGTCATTGAACTTGATTGAAACTATTCCGTGATGCAGTTCCTTTGACCTAGCTTGCATGTTTCCCCTGGTAGACCATTTTCCTACATTTTCTCTTTCTTCCTCTTCCCAACTATATAATATTGTAATTAACAGTACTTATTCAAGCATGCTTATGATAAAATTTGACCTCACATTGGCCGTTGGAATTAGTTTTCATACTTTACACTTGAAGAAATGGAGGTAAGGTGATTTATCTAGGGTGGGAAACCTATGGGAGTCCAGTTCTCTTACTGCTATATCATAGTTTCCCTGATAATTCTCTAGTAGTAATGAGATTATTCAGTGTTTTGTTTGCTTTTAAAGTTTGGTGTGTATGGTTTCCCTTTCATAGAGTTAATTTTCATTTTGTTTAATTTTTAAATGTTCTGTTTCTTTAGGAAGAGGGATTCAGTTTTGGAAAGTAAACATTATGCGTTTTCCCTCTTCTAGAAATATTGGATTTTGCCATCAGATCCCTTCTTTCAGGCAGTCTCAGGAAGAACCAATTTGGTCTTTGCATAAAGTTGTTATCCCTCTTGTGAAAACCCTGTGGCCATTTGCAACTAAGAGAGGGAATTTTAGATTCAGTGGTCCAATTTGCATATGAATCCTCGTGAACATGATTTTTTTCCTAAAACCTTGTAGCATAATAATGCTTTGGCAGTCATTTTTTCTGTTGTTATAAATTGTGTTCATACCGGACACAACATTTTTCTCTTTAAATTCTCTTCAGGCAAACAAGCCCACATGAGATGCTTAGGACTTCTGACACTGATTCTTATCTAGACTTCAGTTATATAATGCAACTACTTACATGATACAATATTTAATTATAGCTGTTTTTTCTTTTGCTTGTTTATATTTAATGTTGTTAAAGAAAATGATGAATATATTTTATTTATGTAAGAGTAGAGTATGTGATGCTAAAGGAGGAAATGAAAATAGTATTTATTTTAGCTGAGTCAGTGTTTCTGATAGTAAGTCATTCATGTTATATTGTTCCATGTATAATTTTAAAGTAATTTGGTGTGGATTATTAAATGTTTCTCTTTCTTTGCATCTTTTCAAATGTGTCTGTCTTAGAGGACAAAATGTGCTTGCTTTCTTTGAGTAATTTCTAACAGGGCCACATTCTGTTCTAATGTAGCTTATCACTAAGGGATGGTTTCCTATATTGTTTCCAATTATGTCTTTTAATGGGAGGTAAGGTGAGGAATAAAAACTTGAATGAGAAAAATGGGAAAGTAACAAATTCTTTCTTGAGCCTGAAAATTGATGACAGAACTTGGAATAAGAAGAATAAAATGAAAGGTTGTAAAACATCTGTTTAGTTAAATTTAAATTGACCCTTTGTTCTTGAATAGCCCTTTGCTCTTGTTATGTTGGTATATGTGTCCTTGGCGATTTCTACCAAAATCCTTGAAGCATTTTCATAGAGATAAATGGTACCACAAATTCTCAACTTACTAAACTAGTTGTTGAAATGGATGATTTATATATTTTTTATTTTATGCCTTTTAAGTTCAGAGAAATTTAGAAAGATGTTTTTGCCCTCACATTATTTTGGTCTTAGAGACTAGGTTCTAGAAGTACTGTTAGATATATTCTATTTGACTGAAATAATGTGAAAAAATATCTAAGTGACTTTTTGATTTTACAGGATGACTCTGGCTATAAGTGGACAAGAGATGATCATTCTGGAAGTCGTCAGGCTGAATACAGGTAAAAAGATGAAAATAATAACTTTTTTGATACTTGATTCACTGAGATATCTAACCTCAACGGGGCTTCCAGTCAAGATGGCAGAGTAGGTAAATGAGGTACTTATATCCTCCCAAAACCACATCAGAATTACAACTAAATTACAGTACAATCATCATTGAGAACTGCCTGTAATCTAGCTAAAAAGGAGTCCTGTAACTAAGAATATAAAGAAGAAGTCACTAGAGACTGGTAGAAGGAGCAGAGATGTTGGTTCCACACCCGTGTATGATGGTTAAAAATTGGGAAGACTGCCTCAGCTGCAGAGGTCGCTCCTATGGAAGAAGGCATCCCAAGCCAGGGTTCCAGTGCCAGGAAAGTAAGCCCCATAATCTCTGGCTGTGGAAACCAGTGGTGATTGTGGCTGAGTGAGACACAGGGCTTCTGGAGACCCAGGTGTTTCTCTCTAAGGGCTAGTGCACGGACTCACTTGTACTGATCTTTAATGCTGGGCTAGCAATGAGAAAGTTGCCAGGGTTATATGGAGAGGAACTGAATTGTGTGGCTTTGGGATGAGGGCGGTGAGGCAGATTTATCCCAGACAGAAGTGCAAGCAGAGGCCATTTTTCCTTTGCAGAGCCTGCCTGCTACAGAGCTGGCACCATATCTGACTCTCTCCATCAGCCCTTGCTGGGGATTCCCTGAGACCCCGCCCGGCCCAGTGGCTTTTCCATATAAGTGGCCATTCTTGGCTCATGCTACAGACTTTACTAAAATCTTTCAAAGGTTCACAAACCTCAGACAAACAGCACCTGTTCTGGTGTGCCCCATATCTCTTGCCAAGTGGCCCTAGGCTTGGCAGTAATGGCAGCCAGCATTGGTTCGCAGCTTGGCCTCTTCTGCATACTTCTAAGCCCAGCACAAGCAACAGCCACCTGCAGACTGCTCTGTAGCTCATAGCGGGTAGTCCCGGGCAGGGCACAGGCAGGGGCTGATTTTGACCTCTCCCTCCCGTGAAGCACCAGAGCTAGTGCATACCATGGATAGCTTTAGACCGCACTAGAGCACCACTCAACCACCTCCACAAGTGACACACTCAAAGGATAGACTCATTTGGCACTAGAGCCCTCCTGAAGCGAATTCTGCTCTGTGAGGTTGGCCCCCTGCTCAGCTAGTCCTCTGCTATAGTCTCAACAAGTCCTTACAGCCAGTTGGCCTGGAGGTAAGCCCCTCCCATTGATGTGCTAACAGCAGTTGAGGCTCAATTACAACAGGAGGGTGCATACAGCCGTGGGTTGAGGGGTGGAGGGGGCACACCTAGAGTGCACAGTTTGGGTTTCCAGGGAGGCTGTGCCACTGGCCACTACAGGACACCTACTACATAAGGCTACTCTACCAAGACTACGAGATATAGCAGCTCTACTAATGAGTAGAAACACTTACAGGAAGGCAGCCAAAATGAGGAGACAGAGAGACATGTCCCAAATGAAAGAACAGAACAAAACTTTGGAAAAAGAACTAAAGAGAATGGGAATGAGCAGTTTACCAGATGCAGAGGTCTAAACACTGGTTATAAAGATTTGCAATGAACCTAGGGGATGAGTAAAGGAACTCAATGAGAACTTAAAGAGATAGGAAACATAAAAATGGAAACAGAAAGCATAAAAAAGATCCAGTCATAAATGAAAAATACAGTAACCAAAATGAAGAAAACATTATGGGGAGTCAGTGGTAGAGGAGATGAAGCAGAGGATCAGATCAGTGATTTGGAAGATAAGGAAGCAGAAAACACCCAATCAGAACAACAAAAAGAAAAAAAATCCGCCCCTCTTCCCCATCAAAAAAAATGAGGATAGTATTGTATAAGGAGCCTCTGGGGCAACTTCAAATATACCAACATTTACACCATGGGGGTACTGGAAGGAGAAGAGAGAAAGCAAAGAATTGAAAACTTGTTTGAAAGAATAATGATGGAAAACTTCCTTAACCTTATGAAGGAAGAGGACATACACAACCAGGAAGTGCACAGAGTTGCAAACAAAATGATGCCAAAGAGGCCCACACCAAGACATTGTAATTAAAATGCAGAAAGTCAAAGACAGAGAATTTTAAAAGCAGCAAGAGAAAAGCAGTAACCTATAAGGGAGCTCCCATAAGACTGTCAGTTGATTTCTCAGCAGAAACTTTGCAAGCCAGAAGAGATATGCACGACATATTCAAAGTGATAAAAAAAAGGAACGACCTACTACCAAGATTACTCAGTCCAGCAAAGCTCTCATTTCAAATCAAAGGACAGATAAAGAGCTTCCCAGACAAGAACAAATTAAAGGAGTTCACCACGACCAGGATTACAAGAAATGTTAAACAGTCTTCTTTAAGGAGAAGAAGAAAAATGATCAAACATGAATAATAAAATGGCATTAAATACATATCAACAGTTTAAATGCACAGAAATGGATTATATGTTCTAATCAAAAGGCAGATGGTAGCTTAGTGGATAAAAAAGAAGACCTTTACATATGCTACCTACGAGGGACTCACTCCAGATGGAAAGACACAGACTAAAAGTAAGGGGATGGAAAAAGTATTTCATGAAAATGGAAACAAACAAACAAAACTCTGTAGTAGCAATACTTATACCAGACAAAACAGACTTTACAACAAAGGCTGTAACAAGAGACAATGGAGGACCCAGCAGTTCCGCTTTTGGGTATTTATCTAGAGGAACTCAAAATACTAAATTGAAAAGACATGCATCCATATGTTGACTACAGCATTATTTAAAATAGCCAAGATATGGAGGCAACCAAATTGTCCATCAATAGATGAATGTTTAGAAAAGAAGTGGTGCATATGTACAGTGGAATATGACTCAGCCATAAAAAAAGAATGAAGTCTTCTGCAGCAACCTAGAGGATGCTGTGCTGTGCAGAGAAAGACAAATGCCATGTGATTTCATTTATATGTGGAATCTAAAAGACAAATTAAACAAACGTACAGAACAGAAACTCATACAGAGAGCATTTTGATGTTGCCAGATGGTAAGGGGCTTGGGAGGATGGGTAGAAAAGGTGAAGGGATTAAGAAGTACAAATTGGGAGTTATAGAATAGTCATAGGGATGGGGAATGTAGTCAGTAATATTGTAATAACTATGTATGGTGTGAGATGGGAACTAGATTTATCAGGGTGATCACTTTGTAATTATGTAAATGCCCAACCACCAAGGTGTACATGTGAAACTAATATAATGTATGTCAACAGTAATCAAAAAATAAAAACATTATAAAGTGATTTGGGCATGGAAAAAATCTAACCTTAAGGAACATAGATGGAATGTTTTTTATTAGGGTTTAAAATTTTGAAAGCAACAAACAGTGTATTTTTGAGACTATAATATAACAATAGCACTAATAGCTAGTGTTTTGTGTTCTGTGTCTATTGACATTTTGTAACTGATAATAAAAATATATATTTAAAAATATTTGAACTATTGATATATTCTTATCAAATTAATAAATTACTCTTAGTGGGTTTTAAGGTATATGTTTGCTTAATTAGAAGGTAAGGCTTTCCCTCCACCCCCCAGAATATTCGAGTCACTACAAAGTGATGCCTACTATAAGGTATTCTCTCAGTTCCTTTATTTTGATCTGTAGAATTTTGTTGGGAAAACACATTTTGGAAGGCCATCAATCCATTGTGAGTTTTGTTTACTTATAAACGCATTTGATAATGGGGAAAAAAATATAGATTTAACTAGATTAATAGGTTTTTTTTAATGACTTCATAATAATAGTGTTAAAAGTAATAAAGGGTCCTTTTAAGATCTCTTATGAATTGTCAGAGAAGAACATCAGCATCATAGAGGAGAGTAGGAAGGAGTCAGCTGCCACAAAATATCCTTAGTGTCAAAAGTAGGCAATAGGATTCAGTGGATTGGGACAAGGCAGTTTTTTACTTCCAGAACAGCAGCCAGCAGTGGCATATGGTAAGTATATTAGTGCTGGCTCACTGCCCTCAAGTCCCGCACAGTGATGTGTGATGGGCAGAAATGGTGGCTATGCACATGGATGGATGCACCTCAGCCAAGGACCCAGGGTCCAGAGCTTGCTATGTTTTGTAGCAAGCAGGAAGCAAACCAGCCTCTCTTTCCCTGGAAGCAAACAATCATACAATAGTAAAATTGGAAGCCTGGTATGTAAAAATAAATATCTGGTATAATAAAGACCTAAGTATAAAAAGCAAAACTATTACAAAAAACTTTTTTGAGAAGATTAGCAAATGGTTTATAATTCCTCCCAAAGAAACAGTTCCTAAGTTTTAGTTAGTTTATTTTCTTTAGTTTTTTAAATAATTTCTCCTTTATGTCTTTATTGTCTCCTGTCTTTTTTATTTTTAGCGTTTTATTTTTTCCTTTGTGGATATATAACTTTATGTAAATGATGTAGAATCATATATGTGATTCCCCAATCCCCATGACGATCTTAAATTAACATCTTGGTATGTGTTCTCTATATTCCTAAACATTTGGGGTATTTGATTGTTGCTAATGAGATCATGTTATATATACTTTTCTTTAAGATACTTTTCTCATTCAGAGGCTTTTGGAAGTCCTTCCAAGTTATTTGGTTTAACTTTAATTTGATTATTTTTGATGGCCAAGTAATATTTCATGATGTGAATATACCAAATAATTTAGCTGTTCACCTATTGATGAATATTCACTCCGGTTCCAGTACAAAACAGCACTGCAATAAATTCAAGTACATAATGTCTGTATGAAACAGTACTTTGGGCCCTGGCTGGTGTGGCTCACTGGATTGAGTGCCAGCCTGTGAGCCAAAGAGTTGCTGGTTTGATTCCCGGCCTACGGCACATGCCTGGGTTGTGGCCAGGTTCCCAGTAGGGGGCGCATGAGAGGCAACCACACATTGATTTTTCTCTCCCTATCTTCCTCCCTTCCCCTCCCTAAAAATATATAAATAAAATCTTTATTAAAAAAGAAGCAGTATTTTAGTT